ACATTGGAGGTTTTTTTGGAGATTTGCAATAATTGAAAACACTTGCAGACAAACCATATAATCTAGAAATAGTGAAAAAATTAAAAAGTCTGGTACGTCATGAATGCATAAAATGTATGTAGATACTAGTCTATTTTATCATCTGCTACCATAAGATACACACAAACCTATTATAAACAATTTAAAATTTATGAAAACGTACACATACAAACACAGACCATGCGTGGCACCATTTGTAGTTGAGAGAAACGTAAACAAACATAAAGATGCAGAATTAAGTCATAACTGCATAAAATTAATTGTAATAATTTTGCAGCACCCTCCTGTTGCTACTGCAGTGAGCTCAAGAGTTGCAAATATTCTCTTAACACGCTGTGTGACCCTAATCACCTCTGCATAAACAGTCTGTCTCTCCAGGAAATTTTTTATGGCAGCAAAACGTGATGTCTTATGGTCCTTGTGATCAGTAGTTAAGTTTTGGGGGAGTCAAAAGCTATACACAGATTTTTGAGTGTGCAGGGGTTTGGCTCCCCTAGCCCCCATGTTGCTCAAGGGTCAGCTGTTTATTATGTATATATAATTTTATTATTTAAATGATATTTTAAATAATATTAATCAGTTAAATTAATTTAGTATAATTAATATTTTAATAACATTTTATTTTTAAGTAATCTCTATACCCAACATGGGCTCAAAGCCACAACCCCAAGATCAAGAGTTGCGTGCTCTACCGACTGAGGCAGCCAGGTACCCCTATTAATTAAAATTTTATTTTATTTTATTTTATTTTATTTTATTTTATTTTATTTTATTTTATTTTATTTTATTTTAATTTTATTTTATTTATTTTTAAGACATGCTCTTTGTTGACATTTTTTAAATGTTTATTTATTTTTGAAAGAGAGAGAGAGAGCGCAAGCAGAGGACGGGCAGAGAGAGAGGGAGACACGGAATCTGAAGTAGGTTCCAGGCTCTGAGCCATCAGCACAGAGTCTGACACAGGGCTCAAACTCACGAACCACGAGATCATGACCTGAGCCGAAGTCGCAAGCCTGACTGGCTGAGCCACCCAGGCATCACTTAATTAATATTCTAGGTAACATTTTAATATGTACATTTTTAAAATAAGAGAGGTCTTTTAGAGCCCTCAAAATCCAGGTAACTGGCTTCTTAAGCTCTCTCTAGGCGAGTTAGAGGGAGAGAAGTCGTCAGGAGACTATAAAAGACTACTGAAACGAGAGCTTGCCTTCAACTTCCTAGTGGCCATATTTTCCCAGACATGCTCACATATTCAATCATTCTGTACTAGAGCTGCCACTACATCCTTTTTCTAGATGTGCACCTTGGAGGTGAGGCTGTGTATCCACCTGGCCAGGTGTTCTTAGTGTGGGCTATGTTCCTCCAATAAGGACCCTAAAGACTCCTCACAGGACTCTGAGGGTCAGTCACTGCTCTGAAGCTGGGCAAAGTTCTGACGATGTCCTCTAGGCTGCAGAGATGTTCACGGGCTCCTGTATCCCGACAGATGCTTTTCCACTGGGCCTGCTCCTCTAATTCCTATTGGCCCTGCATGGGGCTCTGGCCACTGCTTTTCTCAATTCGAGGAGGATTACAGGTCAGTAAGAGTGGTAAGGGCAGCTACTCAGGGCCCTACTGCAGAGAAGACTAGCTTTCTCATTATGGCAGATCAAAACCCAAGAGGCTCCGTTCTCATCAGGCAGACAGACAAGCCTCCAACAAACTCTACAGATCCCTCACCCTGGGGCCTTGCTGGGGAGTACAGGCACAGGGATGTTACAGTGGGTGTATGTGTGCACACACACACATATACACTCACCGTGCCACGTGACCGACCATCATTCTTTCACAGTCACATTTAAATGAAGAGCAAGGACAGCTTGAAAGGAAGGGGGTTGTAAAAGGGCAGCCTAAGGAGCAGATGTGTGAAGGTAAAGTGGAACAATTTAATCCACTGCTATTTACTCATTCCGTCATGGCGCTGGGCTTCCAAGCTGATTGTACAACGAATGATCAGAAAGAACTGAATATTTACAAGATATATTACTCAGTCACTGCAAATGCAAATGCTCAGTCACTCAGGTCATATGCAAACATATATTCAGAAACAATTTGTACAGGAACACTTTACTGTTTCTTCTACAATTATACAAATGTTCACTGTGTGCCCTGGGTCATACTGTAAGTGATGGCTGATGATGGTCACAGTGACAGCCCCACAACGTGGTTGTGAGGAACAGATGTTTTACAAATGAGTTGCATACATATGTTCATATGTAATCTAGAGTATAACCTAGAAATTAAGCAATAAATTTTGAAAGCATTCCGCTTTCATTGATTCAATTATATATTAACTCACAGTTGGATGAGGGTTTTAATTACTGTTATTTTTTTTTAAAGCTTTTTTCTCTTTTTTTAACTGAGTGAGTGTCTTGTGGTCAAGCTGCTGAGACATTGTCCAGGCTTCTTGGCAGGGCAATGACCACAGTTACCATAGAGGGAGGTTAGGAAGGCTTTGACTGGGGTCATGGTCTAGATGGTGAGAAGCACAGCCTTGCTGAGGTGTCCTAGGCTGGGAGAGTTTCAAGACTGTTTCTCTGTTCTTCTTAAAGCACAACAGGCTTGATTCTCCCTCCCTACCCAGGGGGGCTCTAGGAAGCTGTGGGCCTCCCCACCACCACTCCAGGATCAAAGAAAGGAAGAACCACACATGCTCCCTGAGACAGTTAGGACTTGCAGTTTTCACACAGCCCCTACCATAGTAGGACTCACTGGAAAGAGGAACTGGTCCAGTTAGTTACAGCAGAAGAGGTTGTGTAATGGGATGAACAGCTAAGTATAACGGAAGGCACTGCAAATCCTTTCCTTTCCCTTCTCTTTTTGGGTGAAAGACTGCACAGGGTGCAGAGGGTTATAGAAAGCTCGCTATACTTCCAAACTATCCCTTCATTCTGTGCAGAAACCCCAGACAATTCTCTTTTTCTGGTGATGGACACCATAGCCTCCCTCCTTCTGTCTCTGCTCTGTCCAATATTACCCGGAGCAGCCTCTTGGGTCCCCTGGAAGGACTGCCCATTAGAAACTAGGTAGAAGGGTACTAGGGATGCAATTCCACACTTTCCTCCCATTGTCCACCGCAGATCTTGGCTCTCGTGTCATTTCTATTACGATGGTGTCATGTATTCAACATCTGATGAACACATGGCAACAGTCATGTGAGCCATCACAGTTTTCATCATCTTTCGTATTTGCCAAATTTAAGTACATTCATAATTAATTCCTAACTATAAACCACCAAGCATGAATCTACACTATGTATTAAATGTAAACTGTTACCTCCATGTCTGTTCAAAATAATTATATAGCTAGCATTTATTAATTGAGACCTTACTGTGTGCTGAGCCCTGAGTTAAGTACTTGATGTGACTTTTTTTTTTTAATTTAAGCACCACTGAAATCCTAAAAGATAGGGTATATTATGTTCATTTTACCAATGAAGAAATTAAGGTTCAGAGAGAGTTTAAAAACGTATCAAGGTCACACAAGTATGTAGTGTGCAGTGGAGCACAGATTCAAACCCAGATTGAGTCCTGACCCCTATAATCACCTCTCTTAGACCCAGGGTAGGCTAAACTCTGTAGCAGGTTAAAAAGTTAGCTCTTTCCAGCATGGGAAGACACAGACTAAGTGAGGCAGAACCAAGGTTCTAAGATAAAAATTTGGATACAGAGAACACGAAATGGAGTTATAAAAACTCCAAACACTAAAATAAAGGAAATGCCTTTTTGAATGTAAAATAAATTTGAGGAGGAGCAGAGTCTGTGGATTTCTTAATCCTGTTATGGGTAGTAAAGATATAAAACTCTAATCGGTTGGGTAAGCCAAAAACAGAAATAGGTTCAAGGAGATCCTACAGGAATGTGTTGATCAGAGAATAAAGCACTTCCTTTTATTATGTGTTGGGATGAATATGAAATTATCAATTTTTGTTTAAAAACAAGTATTAATTCCATATGGTTTAACTTAGCTAGAGAATTGCGCCTGGCTTTTATGTGTAAAGGATACAGAAACCATACGCAGAGTTGATTGTAATTCCACTCACTAAGACCGCACACAGGATGCAAGGAACTAGTACTAAAATGTTTGGTTTTGGTTTTGTTGAAATCTCTTCTTAGACTTTTGTATGTATACGGGTTGTGGGACTGGTTGGAAATGTAATTATTCAGATTAATGTCTCTTTGGTTGTCACAGAACTGGAAATTGAGTTTTGGTGATCTTTTTGCTCTAACCATCTAATGGAAGTATGGCAAAACCTCAACCGAGTAGGAATTCACTTCAATCATCCATCAAATGAGAAAATGTGTACCTCTCAGTTCTAAAAGTTTACAGAGAGTTAAGGTGAAACAGCTGGCTTTGGCTGCCAGAATTGTCAAAGTCTGGTCCCATATCTTTTCTCCCCTCAATATGGTTTTTCAGAACCCTACAATCAATTTTATCAGATACAAATAAACCAACTGGGACAGGAGATTTACAGATTTAGCAAATAAAAATACGACATGTCCAGTTAAATTTGAATTTCAGATAAACCTTGAATCATATTTTAGAATAAGTATATCCCCTGAAATATTTGGGACATACTTATACAAAAAACTGGGTGGTTTATCTGAAATTCAAATGTAGTTTGGGTATCCTGTATTTTATCTGGAAACCTTGCTCTGGCTAAGGTTTCAAGTGAGTCCGTGAATTCCATGAAAATTTCTGGAATATTATGAAACATGTTACACCTGTGTGTTTGTGTTTTTCTGTAGAGTGGGCTTAGAGATTTCATGAAATCTTCTGAAAAGGGCCTGTAACCCAAAATAGACCCAGAACCATTGGGCTGAGAATGGTCAGACAAGAAATAGTCACAAAATTCTACTGTCTTCAAGGAGTGGGCAAGTCACTGTGAAAGAACTACACTGTGTCCCGGCCTGATACAGGTCTCAAATGAAAATCTTCTAGAGCTGACTATAGAAAAGAATTGTCACTTTATATTTAAGAACATTCTCTTTTCTGCTGCCCTCCACCCTTGCCTCCTGGGAGAGACTCCACATGGGGCAAGCTGAAAAGCCATGTGTGCTAAAGTGTCACTGTCCCTCTCATGCCAGAATGAGCTGGGATCCCAGAATGTGTCCTTTGCCAAAGGGGCGAATCAGCTGCGCCTTCTCCCTGTCCTGTCACATTCCTGTGGCTGCATCTGTCCGAGCTCATCAGGACTGACTCCTGGAATAGAAACACTCCAGCCTCTGCTGCTTGCCATTTTAAGTTAAGTTGGACTTGAGGGGGGGGGGTTCCACTTTACCGTTTCATTTCTAACCTAAAACGTATGATCAGCATAGCCATATGTGTACATCGGGAACAAAAATTTGTCTTATGGTTCAGTCAACAATACTTTCTTTTCATAGGGAGAGTTTCTATCTTGCCAGTAGGAATATTTCTGGGAATTCAGAGTTAATCTGACTTTTGTGCTGAGTTGAAACGGACTGTATTTCATCTAAATGGATCAGGTACTAAATGTTTACATGGTTCCTGATCAAAATGAAGAGGGAATTCTAAACCTTGTGAACCAAACCTAAGAATGTTACTTTGTCCCTCCTTTCCTTATAAAATAGAGAGGAAGAAAAAAAATACATTAGGCCTTAGAGACTTAAAATTATTAATAGAAACGACTAGCAGTTTTACTATTTAAAGGCATCCCTCTCATGCATTTCTATCCCTAGGCATTCTCCTAATCTATGGCACTCCTTACATTTCAAGAAAATGTTTTCTGGCTCCCAATTTCCCATCGGGCACAGGCACAGAACGTTACCGCCCGCTGTAGACGGCAGTCAGTGAATTGCTCCGGAGTCGGGAGCACGCGGTCACGGCCACCCTCTCGCACCCACACACCCATACGCACCCTCGAATCTAGAAGACAGGAATTGGAGAGCGTGGCCCCAGCTCCTTACCCTCCTGTGCGAAGTGGCGTCCAGACGTGTGATGGTGAGTTTTCAGCAGCAGGCTCCTCTTGGGAAGCAATCTGTGGAGAGAGAGAGGGAGGGAGGGAGGGAGGGAGAAGGAAAATGCGGTGGGGAGCCACCAGCAGCCACCTGACAAAGTCCCAGCAGCAGCAATTTTTAGAGTGACCCTTGGCCGGCCAACCAAATGAGGCGTCAGAGCTTGAGCTCCTCAGAGCTTGAGCTCTTCAGCCCGACTGGCCTGGAGTAGGAGGGGACCCCCCCCCCCAGCCGCACCCCCCCTGGCCTTCAACTCTCAGCCTCCTGGGGCAGAGGCGGGGCTCTGGTTGCTGGGGAGGGGTTGGGTTTCTTGACCTGCTCAGTAGTTTAAAAAAAAAGAGTCAAGAGTCAGTCACCTTGGGTGTGAGGAAAGGAAATTAATTAGCTGGGTATTTAATTATTGGAAGCAGGGACAGGGAAGGCATCCTTGGTAAGAAGAAGGGAAGGCTGTGAATCACAAATTAGCTTCTAGAACGGTAAATAGCCTGGTCACCTCAGGTCCTCCCCAAAGCCCGAGTTTATAAATAGATTGTTCTTTAGAAGAGGAGCACATGTTTAGGAGGACAAGGTGTGTTCTTTGATACCTCACATGTGATATCGACATCATTACGGTCATGGTATAGTTGAACAGAGTGAGGTTTGCGACCAGTCCCTGACTCTGCAGTGATGCACAGGGAGGTCTGCGATGAACACACACTCTGGCATACAGGCAGGTGGAAAGATGTCCACTTTGGCAGCACTTCCTGTGAAAAAAAAAATCAGAGGATTACAATTGACCACAAGCTTTTAATAGACACCAAGAGTGTGAAATGGCTGTGAAGCATTAATGTGATATTAGGCTGCAATAATGGAGAAATGGATCAGGGAAAATTAATGTTCTAAATTAGTCTTCATTACTCAGGTGATGTGTTAGGCATTGCTTTGCCCCTTGGCACACTGGGAAATTATTCTGCATCCTGAAGGAAATGTCTGGAATGAAGAGAACTTCAGAAGCTGTGCATATTGGGCCTGTCTGAAGCAAAGTATCGAGAGAGGACTTAGGATAGATGAAACTCCTGTGTCAAGTGTTTTGGGGGTTGTTGTGCAACAAGGGATTCAGTAAAAATTCTTGCAACCTAACAAGGCCAAATTTGGGCCCCATGGGTGGAAGTCCAGGGAAATATTAAAAATAAGAAAGGAAAATTCCGGTAACAACTGGGTTCTAATGATGAAAAAGGATCCTAATGATGAAAAGGAGCCAGTTCCTTATGAGGGGAAGCAGGGAAATAAAAGAAGCTATAGGATTGGATGAGGTAGGAGGGACTATCGCTCTGGCTGGCCCTTGCACTAGATCACGTCTGGTATCTTTCCAACTCTATGATTCTATGATTTCCGTAGGTACTGGGCTTAGTCCTCCTGTCACCTCTCAGCTCACTGGTTAGAATCTTAGTTATCACTTCTACTTAAATTCCATTCAGCTTTTTTAGAATGGGAAACTATTCTGATTTTTTTTTTTAATTCTTTGTTTTCACCCATAGATCTTCAGCTTCGAATGTGTCAGAAATAAATCAAAGAAGTTCTTTATTCTATGGTTTACATAAAACTAATAGAGGACCACTTCCATGTGATCCTTCCTGTTTCCACCTCCTTGATGCAGTCAAGGGCCAGGGCATTCAACTGTCACCTTAGTAGAATGATAAAAATCAGCTTATATCAGTATTTATGATGATGGAAAGGTCCTTCAAGAAGTAAGAAGGAATGACCTGGGAACCTTGTTAAAAATCAGTTTTGACAAGGTAGGCCTGGGGTGGGGCCCGAGATTCTGTTTTTCTTTTCTTTTTAACGTTTATTTTTGAGAGACAGAGAGAGATAGAGTGCAAGCAGGGGAGGAGCAGAGAGAGAGGGAGTCACAGAATCTGAAGCAGGCTCCAGGCTCTGAGCTGTCAGCACAGAGCCCGATGCCGGGCTGGAACTCACTGACTGTGAGATCATGACCTAAGCTGAAGTCGGACACTCAACCCACTGAGCCACCCTGGTGCCCCGATTCTGTTTTTCTAACAAGCTCACAGGTAATGCTGATATTGCTGGTCCCAGGGCCACACTTGGAGTAGTGAGGATTTAGAATGCTTGGGCTACTCAACATCTGAAGGAAAGGGTTTGTTAAAAAGGCAATAGAAACCATTCTATCAGAACACATTCAGTGTTCCAATACCAAATCCACCAGGACGAAGTACACAACCTTTCTTTCTTTGCCTTGTTAAAATGGAACAGCCCCTCCTTCTAAACCCCTCTGCTGGTGCTTTGGGTTACAGACATAGCCATCTGTTCAGGAACCTTGCTGTATCAATTCTTCCTACTCTCCTGTACCCCCCACCCCCATTTCTGCTGGCCAATTTCTACCTATATTTAATGGTACACAAACTCTTCTATTTAAAACAAGTGCAACAAAACAAAGCTTTCAATTTTGTCCATATTTTCTCCAGAAAATGCCATATTTCTCTTCACTTCTTTATAGGCAACCTTCTCAGATGTATTGTGTGTATTTATATCTGTAGCCTCTATCATGTTGCTTCCCATTTTCTTCCCAAATCAATCCAACTAAGTTTCCCTGTTTGCCCTTCTACCAAAGTGCTAGTGCCAGGGTCATAAATAACCCCGAGTAACTAGTTTTTTGGACATTTGTCAGAGCCTGACCTTTCTGAATTATTCCACACAGTTGACCAATCACTTCTACTAACATTTTTTTCTTCCTATTGGTTTTGACTTTTCTCCAATTTCTCTGGTCTTTTATTCTCATTTTCCTTTTCTTGAAGAAGATCTTCTGTGCAACTTTTGAAGATCAAAGTGCTTCAGAGCTGTCCTCGACTCTCTTCAGTCCTCAAAGCTGCATTTGGCAGATGATCTCAGACATCCTTAGATATCTCACAGGCTCCTTAAAATTCATTATTTCCAGGATTAAAGTCATCTTTTCCCTCAAAATATGTTCTTTCCCCAATATTGCCTTTGGTAGTATACAAGCCATCACTCATCTAGTTCTATAAAGGGTGAACTTGGGATCATCATTTGCCTCTTCCTCACCACCCTGCACCCCTGTATCCACATCTTATAATTCACCATGTCCTGTCATTACATATCTGTAATATATTTCCCACTGCTGCCATTATGGCCCTGGCTATCATCACCTCTCACTTGAACCATTATGAAATCCCCCAAAATGGCTTTCCTGTGTCTACTCTTGCTTCTCTCCAAACTGTCCTTAACACAATGTAACCAAAGTGATATTTTCAAATCTGGTCATGTAACTTCCCTGCAGAAAATTCAATAGCTTTCCATTTCCTCAGGATAAAGTCCCAAATCTCTCTCTGGCTTACATTGCCTTTCAGCCACCTGATCCCTGTTTTCCTCTACAATATCTTCATGCTCTAGCAAAGCCAGTCCTCTCCAAGTACCTCAAATATACCACCTCTCTCTCTGGCCTTAAGTCATCATACTTGCTCCCAAGGTACCATCTATTTCCCCTTCCACTTCACAGTTCAACAACCCCTCATTGGACCAGAAGTGCCATAAATAACAAAAGCTAGCATGCACTTACTCCGTACCAGGTAACTGTGGTAGGTAGCTTCTACGATGGTCCCCAAATGATCTCTGCCTCCTGGATTCATAGCATTAAATAATCTCTTAGCTTTCAGCAACTTACTTCTAAACAATAGAATACCTCAAAGTTGAGGGACTATGATTTCTATGACTAGATTGCAAGAGATTCCTATTTCCACATTAAAAGAAGACTTTCTCTATTCCTGTCTTTAATGAAGCTCAGTGCAACATCTGAAATACCCAGGCAAGGAACAACCTCTAGAAAATGAAGCCCTTAGTCCAACATTCCCCCAAAGATGTGAATCCTGCCAACACCCCTGCATGAACTTCCAAGTGGATCCTTCTTCAGTTGAACCTTCAGATGAGACTCAACCTTGGCAAAAATATCCTGGATAAGCACCAGCAGGTGGTTAACACTGCCATGACCCCTGGCCAAAGCCATTAGCCTAGAAATCAAGCTCTGTATGTTGGTCAAAGCTTGAGAGAGTGCTTCAGTTAAAATCAAGGAGGAGGAAACCACTAAGGACTAGTTTTTTTCCTTCTGTCGCCTTTGTTTCTGGCACCAGGGATCCCCAGTGTGCACCGATGTTGTATTTGTAACATGTCAAAATCTGTCAGTTCAAATGTGTTGTGCACAGTTGTGTGTGGCCTTGGCTGACATGAAGCTGCTCTGTGAGGTTTGCTTATCAGCTAATGACTTAGTAATCAAACCGTGCAGTACTTTGTGCAGTACTGTGATTTCACAGTTAAGCTTGGATCTCTGATCTACTGAAACTGTGAGATAATAAATGTGTATTGTTTCAAGCTGCTAAGTTATGCAGCAGTAGGTAACTAACCCTTCCATGTACCTTTCATGGATAAGCTAACATAATCCTCACAACATTTTTACCAGCTAGGATTCATGTTTAATAGATTAAAAAAGTGAAGAACTCTTAACTTATCCTAGAGCACATGCTGGTAATGGATGGAACCAGAATTTAGACCCACGTGGTCAGGCTCCATGGCCCATGCTTTTAATCACTTCATTTTGCATGAAACAGTGACTGTATCTGATTTGTGTATAACTCTAGTCCCAACCAACAACACAGCATTTGACACACACTAGTGCTCAATAATTGGTTAATTGATTACTTAATTTAGAAAAGTGCTAAATGAGTGATGAATAAATTTTGGGTTTGTTCATGCAAAAGAATTTTAGAAGAGTATTCTCAGTTATAACTGACTCTCAAAGGCTTTTTTTCATTTTGTAGTATGCAGGCATAGAATGGGCTACATGCTCATTGACTGAAAATTATAGGTGCATACCAGCAGCATTTTTCACAGAACTAGAACCAACAATCCTAAAATTTGTATGGATCACAAAAGGCCCTGAATAGCCAAAGCAATCTTGAAAAAGAAACACAAAGTTGGAGTGATCACAATCCCAGATTTCTAGGCACTTGTA